AAAAAGGTGCTATTGTGTAAATTAAGCCTTATGTAAACAATCGATAATTGGAACGATCAAGTAACGAACACGTTTGCGATTTATCGATAATGATATTGTGTATATATATATATATATATATATATATATTTCTATAAAATATTTGGTTATAAATTTAATTATTCGATAAATATCAAATTGTTTAAAAAATTTTCAGAAACAATCTTCCCTTCTCATTTTTTCTTATAGCAAATTACATATATTCTACCATGTTAATGTTAACTTTGCTATTAAATATTCTCAAGCTTTTAAGATTTTAACAATAAGACATCGATACGAGCGATGAATCGAATGAAGAAATACAACGAGGTTACAATCATAATAACATATTTTAATGAAAATCTGAATTGTATAATCTTGAATAGTACAAAATTAACGAAAGTAAAATGTAAGTATGTATTAAAAAAATATATTGAATAACTTTTTTTTATGTATTAATCGCTAACATACGTTTTTCAATATCTCGCTGTATTTCTTTTACGAAAAATATATCTTAAATAAATGATTATGTATCCAATATTAAAATCGCCATGGTTTATTATAACAATTGTTATCTATATGCGATATAAAATTAAATTTGCTCAATGTATTTTGTGCATCATTCGTAAGCATATATAAGCTTATTTGAGTACAATTTTTTTTTTTTTTTTTTTTACTTAAACTAAAAGAAGAAAGTACGAAAGTATTGAAAACATTTTAAAATGATCTGTTTATTATTTTTTTCTTTTTAATAAACAGATTCTGTAGTCTTAAAGAAGTTATAATGATATTCATTTTTTAAGGTACCAAAGGTTCTTATACTTATTTCTCATTATGGAAACACAAATTGCTCATATATGTCCGTCAAAATCATATAAATAATTGAGCCTGAATATATTATATTTATAAGCAAATGCATAATACTTCGTTGATGACAATGTTTCATTATATATCGTTCAAAACAATTACAAATGATTCATAAAATATCAATCATTTTTCATTATCATGCATTTAATTACAAGCTCAAAACTTTTTTAAAATATTGACTTATATAAGCAATAAAATTATAAATTTACTCAAAATATTTCACGAGAAGAAATAATAAATAAATATTTTCTTATATTCGTTATATTTAAGTTCATGAAGCTCAAACATAACTATTTTTCATTTTCAGAGTTTAATTCATTCTTTGTTTAAAAATATATTTACTTAATTATTGTTTTAAACAATATATTTATTTTATGAAACGTAATAATAATTCTTTATAACTATTGTGATAAATTTTGCACCTCTTTTTGATCGATATTTATGTAACTATGTATAATTAAATATGATGAGATTCGAATGAATTTTATGTTTAAAAACGATCAGAAAAATTCATATATGAATATATAACATATGAACGAGATTCATAATGAAAAAATATTTGATGTAAAGAATACATATATTTTTAAGATAATCGAAACAATATCGTTAAACAATGTTCCTTCATTTCGTTACCTTTATATATTATTAATAATAACGATTTCCTAATAAACATATATAATATATAAACAAAAAATGGGAAAAAATAACAAAGACGAAAAATTAAAAATTGCAATATAATGAATTATGGTTTTTCGAAAATGTCTAGTTTTACATTATATCTGATACTAATTGTCTTTTTATGTTTTTAATCCTTGAGAAAGATAAAAGAATTAATTATTGGGGCATAGTGCGAAACGAAACAATAATTAGACAATAAAGAACAGTTTTAAAAAGCAATCGTATAAAGGAAAACGTTGCATTTCAAATTTAAAAAGCTTTCACTTCTGACTGAAAATATATAAAAAAAATAATCTTTGAATTTCATATTTTTTTGTAGTACTTTATTCTTTTGAGGTTATCTTGTTGTTTATACAGAAGTTCGAGTCGTGAACGTTTTCTTATAATGCTATATTATCATTAATCGTCAAGGATAATCAACAAGGATTAAAATCATGAAAAACTGTTTGTTAAACTTTTTGACATGTAAATATTTCGAATATATTGTAAATACATTCGTGTTTTTATCCACCCATTAATCAATTGTATACTATGCAATATAATTGTACAACACAATATAATTGATAGAAAAAAGTTTTGAATTATTCGTTGTTTCTCAATAAAATTGAATATATGTAAATTTGGATTCTTTTGAGCTCCATCTTTCGAATATGATTTAAAAAAATATTAAATGTTTACCATATCATAAAATAATGATTTTTAACTAATAATAATAATGAATAATAATTTTTAAATATTGTCAGATTCAAAAACAGAACGTTTTATCGAACGTCGTTAATTGATTTTATAAAAATATTTTCGACATACATACATTTTTAACTTTTTTTAAAGTTAAAGCCAATTGATTCTTGGGAATTATTTTTGTTTTTTATTTTCTCAAATAGAAAGTATGAATCTGTAATCGTCCAACATTGTTATAACATTCTTTGCTTAAGAAAAAACATGCTGATTGACTATATATCACTGTATCGTCAATTAAATTTTATAAGATACTTTGTAGTAATTTTTATCTCCTAAATGGAATTAATCTATTCCGTCTTCTTACACATTCAGCATGCTTATTCTACACATATATTGTAACGATTTACGAATCTGATTAATCTAAAACACACGCTATATTAATTAGGCTAATTTGCTTATGCGATATATTATTGTAAATTCAAATGTTACATTAATCTATATTGACTGGAATGATAAGAAAAAGCAATCGATTGTAATAATGAAAAAAAATAATAAATAAATAAATATATGTATTATATTATATATATAATCTACAAGAGAATTTCAAATTGATATATACATATATAATATATATATGTATATATTGTAATTCAATATTAAAATTAATTAAAATATATATCTGATATCAAAGTATTCTCTTGCTTTAGTAAATATACCCCTTTTCTAATTATTACATTATTTTTAAATATATACAAATGTAGATTCACTTATAACTTTTTAAATTTAACTATATTTTAAAAAGGGAATTATATTAATAAATTTTTTAATTAAAAAATTTTATAATAATTAAATTATATGATAAATAATTGATAATAAAAATTGAAAAGTATATAATGTAGTATGCAAGTGTAGTAAATGGTGCATGAATTATGTTCTTTAATAACATCAGAAAACAATTTTTAGAACTTTCTCCATTGTAATTAATGAGTGAAAATAGATATCAGTTTTTATAAATATTATATGTATATTGGAAACAAAAACGGAAAAAAATATATTCTTTGGTATTTATTGATATTCATTCTGGAAAAAATATATTAAAGAATGAAAACAGTTCATTTGAATGATCTGCACGAGAGAATTTCAAATTGAATGTGAAACATATAAATTAGGGTCATGTTTAAATTGCTTTGAAAAAACAAAAGAATCGCTTTCATCGATTTTACTATCTTCACTTTCACAATTTACAATCTATAAAAGTATTACTTCTGAACGTATTACAAATGCAAAATTTCATGATATTAATATGAAATAATTAATTGAGCCATAGAAAATTTGAATGACAGCAGAAAATTTATGAGAAATGACTTTGCTCTTTCTTTTGAATTCCAAAGAAAGTAAAAGGAAATGTTTACATTCTTTTTATTTTATTCCAACTATGATTTATATTATAATATTTTTTAAAACTTTATTCTAATCTTGTAATTTATAATATTAAAAAATTGTTTTTAAATGAATTATTAATAATTGAAAAATTTTTCTCATGAAAAAAAGACTAATAAATGCATTCAAGTTGAAAATAGTTATCTTAACATCACTCTGCATTCCTCCTCACTTTCCTTGCTCCATGAAAATGGCCTCGATAAGAGTAACCCTACAGGTTGTTTCAAAAAGAATGGAGTTTCATTATTTTAGATCTTAATTTTTTCAATTCGTAATTAAAATAAAATTCAAAACTTATTCGATCACAAAAACTACGTCATTTAAAAAAAGAAGAAAAAAGATAATTTTTCATATTCAAATCATTTATAATTTAAATAAATATTTGAAAAATCACTAAAATTTATCTTTTAATCTAAGAAAATTGTTTTAAAAATATCTAAATTTGAATTGTATAAATCTATTAATTCTATTAATTTTATGTCTAAATTTTGAAAGAGAAAAAATTAATCTTAAGATCTAAAATCGTAAAATTGCTGATTTTTAATTAATGAAATTAATTAATAATCTAATTAATAAATTAATATAATTTTTGAAAATGGATAAAAATTTTGAAACGTCTTCTAGTTTACAACTTAATACCACTAACATTCTCATTATAGTAGTGAAATTGACAACCTGTATATGCATTTATGTTTCTCAACAAGAATCCGTTTCTCGAAAGAATGATTAATAGGTCTACTAATAATTAGATTGCTGTATCAAATAATTCAACGTTGGACTAAACAAAATATTTATTCCTCTAATTTTATGATGATGCATAATTATGAAAAACTACGACTAAATGATTCATAATGGATTATATATTGCGAACTGAAAGAAAAATATATCGTTGAATATCTTAAGAACGCGAAATGAATTTCTAAATCTATAATTTGTTATGAAAATGTCTTAGTTTGAAATTTGAAAAAAAAAATTAGATATATTTTCGTATTTTTAAAATATTGAAATCCCAAATAAACATAAAAATTCCTAATTTTTTTAAATCCTAAATACTATATTTAAAGTACTATATTTAAGTAAAAATAAAATTTCTTAATTAAGTATCAAATTAATTAAAATCTGAACAATTAAATCTAAACTAACTTCATATAATTTAATTTGGAATATGTTTACTCGTTAATGAAAAATATATAAAAGTAGAATTAATTCTCATTAATTTCAAATGATAAATCAGTTTTTATATCTGTATAATCTTTCTGTTTGTCTTTTAAAGAATTTAAAGAAAATCAAAATTCTTGTCTAAAATTTCTGTACATTTTTTTGATGAAATTAGTCAACGAAAAATAAAATTGTAAACAAAATATAAAAATATCAAAAAGGGAATCAATATCCTATTGATCGAAAGATCATTTTAATTGGATTTATAAAACATTATAAAGATACACGGATTCATAATCGCATCCGAGCGAGACGAATGTTTCTAATTGGTATGAAAAGAGCGAGGAAGAGGCACAGTGATACCAGAGAGGTAACTTTCGTTAGTGAGAGCGATATTCGTCTGTTTAAGAGCTGCCAGTTTCCACTCGTTCGTCGTGATCGCAAATATATTCCCCTTCTTCGATGGCAATCGTTAACGATCACTTTCTTCTAAGTAAGTTCCTTCGAAGGATTTACTCGTTCCAGTGATCGATCCACCGCAAGGATTACTCGTGCTCTTGCTACTTCTCTTACATCTTCGTTAAATATAGTATGAAACATCTTTTCTTCATTTATTTACTCTCAATGTGTGTGTGTCTATTTAATACAGATATGATGTCACCTGAAAATTGAATCAATCAATTAAATATAAAAATTGAATTATATATTGTGGCAATTAAAGAAGAAGAATATGAAGAGCATGAAAAAATAAAATATACGGGGGGTCGAAGAAGACAGTTGGTGCACTTTCCTTGTTGGAAATGAATTTTCGCGGTGGACTAGCGATACTTTTATTCATTTTTATGGAGGTTAATTGCGCAATTTTGAGAATCGTACAGGAAAATCACTTCTGTAAGTGCATCACTTAAATATTTTTGCATAAAAATATTGCTCACGTATATATGTATATAATATATTTACACATCTATATCTGTGAATTACATAAATTTTTTATTTTCCTTCTTTTTGTGCTAAGATCTTTCATGAACATTGATATTACCATTGATAAAAGATCTGTTTTTTTCATAAATAAAAGATTATTTTAAATAATAATTTCTTTCAATTCTAAAACAGAAGATTTCTTAAGTTATACTTATTTATATCAATTCAATACGATTTCTAATTCTTTTTAATCTTAATTATTTTTCTTAATTTCTTTGATCTCTTGTATAAATCATAAAATCATTCAATTTATACGCATTTGATCCATGTATCAGTTGGCTATGCACGAAAGTCAACTAGGTGGAAAACATGAGTTTTTCAATAACAGCTTGCGGATGTCCAGCAGCGTCGCATAGAGAGCCACGTGCGATTCTGTCAGCGAAGAACGTCAATTCCTCTTCACTGGGCGAGGAGAAGAACGTGAGGACAACAACGGGTCGAATATTCAACGGGAAGCCGAGCAAACGAGGCTCTTGGCCTTGGCAGGTGTCTCTCCAACTCCTTCATCCAAAGTTAGGATTTATCGGTCATTGGTGCGGTGGTGTTCTCATCGAGCCTACTTGGGTCGTCACAGCTGCTCATTGTATTCATAAGTGGGTTTCACTTTTTATTGGATTTCTACGAATTTAGTAATGAGAGATTATCAGTATATAGAATGACTTGGAAAATTTGAAACGAATAAAAATTAATTAAACATTGGAAAATTTCAATGAAATTATAAAGAAAATTAATAATTGAAAAAAATATTTTAACAATGATATTTCTTATTTATTTCATGTAGAAATTAATCTTACAAATAATAATCTTGTAAATAATCTGTTAGAATTTTTGTCTTATCAATTTTTTAATCTTTAAAACACAATGTATAAATTTTATATTAATATATATTTTAAGATGCAAAATAATGAATAGTTTTATTTTTTTTTCTACCTTGATACAAGTGTTGGAAGAAAAGAGTTAAAATTAAAATGAAATATCGTGTAAGCAAAACAATAAAATCTCGTTGCTAAACTAAAATATATATATGTATATTTTTTTTTTTTTTTTTTACCTTTGAATCGCCTATAAACTCCAATATTTACTTACAGCGAGCTTTTCAATTTACCAATTGGTGCACTATGGACGGCAGTCGTCGGGGAATGGGAATTAAACTCCGGTGGACGTGGCTCGGCAAGGCTACCTGTTGAACGAGTGATTCTCCATGAAAGATTTAACAATTATTTACACGATATCGGTATATGTAAATCATTTTAACGTACATATAAGAAAAATTTGAAATATTCGAAGTAAAACAGTAATTTCTTTTAAATATTATAATTTTATAATTATCATATTTTTTCTAAATAGTTTAAAAAATAGGAGGAAAGATAAATTAATAAGGAAATATTGTTTCTAGCATTGATGAAGCTAGCTAGACCAGCCCCTTTATCTAAAGTAGTACGAACAATATGTTTACCGGAACCGGAAGAGAAGCTTGGGAACAGATATTGCGTCGCTTCTGGCTGGGGTCAATATGGTCCCTCTCAGTCACTTTCCACTGCACTTTTAGAAGCCTCAGTGCCATTACTAGATCTTGAAAAATGCACGAAAGCTTATGGGAAATCGGTATCGCTTCGGAATGGCCATCTTTGTGCGGGTCACACTGATGGCTCGACCGGAAGTTGTGTGGTAAACAATATATTTTTATTTTAAATTAATTGAATCTAAGTTATAATTGAAACTTAAAATCTTTTCAATAGAATACAAATTTTATTCTGTTTATTTCTATTCATTCAAAAATGTTTCCATTTGTTTAAATTTATGACACGTTTTTATGTCGCATCATTGTATCATTAAAATCTACTCAACTAGATTGAAATTTTTGCATTATTCCTCAATAATCACACACAATTTGATCTCCATGCTCGAGATGAAATGATGGATTATTCATTTCAATTTGTTCAAGATTGATATTTATTAACAAATCTCCCCATTAAATTAAATCTCTTTCTTATTAAATTTTAATTTCAATATTTCGCGAAGTATACTAGATTGTAAATATTTTTATAATTGAATATTATTAAAATTATATATTTATAATAATGTAATAAGTATATTTTAAATATCTTTAGTAATTTAGTCTTTTAATAATGTCGTTATCAATATTTTTCTAAATTTATTAAGCGTTTAAAGTAATATATCAAATTTTAAAGAGCAAATATTGTTCAGGGCGATTCTGGAGGACCATTACAATGCCGTCGCGCAGACGGTGTATGGCAACTGGCAGGCGTCACTTCTTTTGGATCAGGATGTGCCAGGCCAGGATATCCTGACGTCTACACTAAGATTCAGTATTATGTTAAATGGATAAGAAATACTATGAGCAATGATGATGATACGCAACTTTTTTAATCAACGTGTTATAACTCACGTGTACCTTGAAATGTAGATAATATTTATGTAAATATTAATGCGAAGTAGAATCATTGTATATATTGATATAAATATACACATTTTTGTATGTTTCAATATATAATTAATTTTAGAACAAAAGTTTGCTTTGATCTTTGAAATATATTTTAAACGAATCTGATATTAATTTTAACGTTCCATAATTAATTCTAAATTTTCACCAACCTAAATTTCTCATTATATATCCCACTTTCCTTTCATTCTAAATATTCTACACATTAACATTATTTTCTTATCGATTCAAGTTTCTTTCCAATTTCGAAACAATTTCAAAAAAGATATTCGTACAATTGAAAACCATAAAACCTCGATATTCCAATAAGAAATAGAGCAAATACATACATGTACGTAACTACATACGTGTGCGTGTATAGAAATGAAAGCGTAACCGCTAGCAAGTTCCAAAGAAAAACCATTTGCCAGGGGCTAAGATATCCATCTAGGCACACCATGTGTACATGTATCGAAACGATACCGATGTTGGGAATACCAACATCTGCATTTATATGACTCTCGTGCAGAAGAAGGTAATCTGAAGTTGTTTCACCCTTTCTGAACGTCGTGGATTCAACGTTACGCAACCTCGTGATTGTGCGTATGACATGGGGAGGCGATTGCATTTCCTCTTCCTATCTCATCCACCTTTGTCCCTCTTCAGTCGATGAAATTAGAAGTATCGATCTACAGGGAATGCGTACATTGTGGTAACTAAGAGAAGCAGAGAGTACACAAATTACGCTGAGGTGCATCCATTAATTAGCTTAATACGACCCACTTAACATACGAAAGGATCCTCTGATCAAGTTTCGTTTGCAGAACTGCTTATTCACTGTGTTTCTGTTATGCAAAATTGCATATATCATGTTCAAGTGTCATGTGTTCATCGATTTATTCTTATATGTCTGTAAATTAAAATTAATTAGCGATTATTTTTTTAATTATTTTTATTTCTTTTCTCGTTTGAAAAATGGAAAACAAATTTAAAAGTTTTTAAAAATACATACATGTTGGTTTTATGAATAATGGAAATTAAATCAATTTATAAAGATATTATTCTTGGATATCACGGATGAGAATATTGAATTAGATTTATGATGAATAAAATGATTTTAAAAAATATAATAATATATTATACATATCAAAGTAAAGTAAGGATATGTAAGAATCTGTGAATTATAAAGTTATTAAGGAAATTAAATTTTAAGTATAAAAGCTGTATTATCATACATCAGGTTCAAGCAAGCTAGCAGGAACAAACTTCTCCATCTAGAACAACAAATAAACTTCAATGAACAAGTTTCATAAACATTGTTATTCTATGCACTTATGACTAATTACAAAATATAGTTACATACTACTTCCATAAATTTTTAAAAATAAGAAAAAGAACTATAAAAATGAAAAGAATATAATAATCATTGACCATGAATAAAATTTATCTAATCGATTAGACCATATCCATTTGCATTAATTAGTAACTATTAATTACATTAGAAGTCTAACATAATGCAATTATACACAGCTATTGTTGTCAGTTTGCGTGTTTTGTATTGTAACAAGAATCTAATTAAATCATACATTACATTTCATTTAAATTTTTTTTATTAATTTTGTTTTTTATAAATATATTTTATTTATAAATAATAATAAAGCTGACATTTTTCTTATATCTTGTAATATCATTTTTATGTGGAAATAATAAAAATCATGAGTTGCTTTACATAATGTAATGTCATTTTTCTTCTGAATTGCTTTTTTGAGTATAATTACTTTCACCTGCGCTATTAGCTGATTAAACTTGGCGTAATCTCAGGGGAAGTTGAAAAGGTGTGTCCTTTAATATGAAATTCCTTAATAATATTTTCATCCTATTATTTGACTCGATATTATTGACTGTTATTTATAATTATCTATAATATAACGAGGGAAAATAAGAATAATAAATATATTAATAAATTTGTTAAATTTCTTTATATTGTTATATTGTTTTTATATTGTATAATAATATAAATAATATAATATAAATAATTAAAGATATTATATTATGATTTTAGTTATTATCGACAAAATATGCTCATAGAAATTCTTTTGCAAAAATGATTATCAATTCAACCCTTACTCTGTTTCTAAGTATAGTATATGCTTACATAGAATATATGCACACACATCTCTATGTATACGCATACAATGAACAATGATTCAATCTAAAAGAAAAGATAGGTTTACATATTTGTTTTCATCGTAATCAATCATATAACTATATTCATATTCTTCCTTTTCTTAGTACAATAAATTTTTGCAACAATTTTTTAATTCAATCCTCCTATGTTTTATTTTCCAATAAACTTTATTTTTATTTAAATTACACTCTATAAAAGGAACACTAAGCTAAATTAATAGAAACTAAATGTTAATCCATATAAAAATTACAATTCTATCCATACACAATCTAATATTTTACACCAACGCATTATTTTTATTTTATAATATAAAATTCTTTTTAATAAAATCTATAAAATTTATAAAAATTAAATCCATATTTTCTAAACTTAAATGTAATCTATATATATCTGATACTTAACTTAAATTTAAGTTAAATCTAATTTATTTAACTAATTCAAATTTTAATCTCATAACTATCTTAGATTTAATCTAAATCCAACTCGAATCCTCCTCTTTTTTAAATTATTCAATCCAAATACAATCGTTAATTAAGAAATAATAAAAAGTCTACTAGAGATATATGCAACATCATGATGATATCCTCATCCAACAATGTTTAACAGCCAGGCAGAATTGACATGCGCGTGGAACCGCGTCCGTGAAACGAACAGGGAGAGTGCGCGTTCCTGATCAGTAGTAGCACACTTTCATCGTGGCGAGGAAAGTGAGTAAGTCGAGTGATTCGTTTCGTCCACGTCTGAGGAATCATCCACGCTATACACACGGTATACACGAGCGCGCGCTCTGCCCACGAAAATCATTTGCACGAGTGAGAGAAGCTCTCGTGGCAAAAAAGAGAAAGAAAGAAAGAAAGAGAGGAGTAAGCATTAAGAGAAAGGAAGAAACATCTCAACGAATTCCATTCGAT